CAACACAACCAATGTACCATAATTTAACACAGTTTATGCAAACTTCTAAACCACATCTGATATAGGTAATATTTTCTCTTCCTTTTCTCATACAGTAATGACATAGTTAGATGATTAGATAATTGATTCAGAGGCTATAGACCATATAGTCAATTCTATTGAGTTGTTTGCTTTATATAAATTGGGAGACAATATGTTCCTCAAGTTTTCAATTCTCAAACAATAAAAATCACACATATAGGTAATGTACATTTTTCACATACTTTGGTTCTTCATAATCGTTTATTTGCACATATTTTTCATTCAACCTCATTTATATCAATTACCTCCTTATTACAACATTCTAAACATTGTTTGATATTCAATAACAATTGTTACATTATCTAGGACATACCCAGAGGATGATTAGTTTAGTTAGAGAGAAACATGAGCTACATCATCTTGAGGCTAAAAAGAATAAGAGTTCTTATACTATAAATTCTATTATAAAGTCATACTCTTTCACTTATTCACGTGTCATTGATAATAAAAATTTGTAGTATTTTCATTTTTGTCATCCTTCTTCACTAATATTGCAAGTACTTCATCAAGTAAACAAGTCCATTATTCCTTATTCAATCTTTGTATGTGATGTTTGTCACTTTTTCAAACAAAAGAGACCATCATCTCATGTAAGTAATTCAATAAATACTTATTGTTTTGATATAATACATCTTGATATTTGAGGTCCACTTTTCATTGTTTTTTATTTTTTTATTTTTTAACCATGGTTGATGACAAAAATATGTATATATCTTATGAAGATCGGGACATAAGTGAGGAAGATTATATGCAATTTCTTTGTATATGTTGAAACATAATTCAATGTAAAGATAAAATATATTCAAATAAATAATTAAAAAGAGTTTAATATGCTTGAATTTTATGTTTAAAAAAAGAGTTTTACATAAAAAATCTTGCCCATATATACCATAACAAAATAGTGTGGTAGAAAAAAAATATCAATACATCATGAATGTGGCGAGCTCATTGCGGTTTCCAATCAATTTGCTAATGAAATTCTGGATAGATTGTGTATTACATGCTATGTACTTCATTAATTGTATATCTTCTCCGGTCATCAATAATAAAACCTCATTTGAGCTCTTATTTAATATTCCTTTAACATTCTAACATCTTAAAGTGTTTAAACATTTGTTTTATGTGTCAACAGTTGAACCTCATTTATCAAAATTTGATTATCATGCCTCAAAGTGTCTTTTTCTTATATATTCTTTTCATGTGAAGGATTTTAAGTTTATGATCTTGAGTCTTAAAAATATTTGTATCCAGAGATGTTAAATATGTTGAGCATATATTTCCCTTTTCCTCCACCATAAACAAAAATTCAGAACATTTCTTTTAATTTTGAACCTCAACTAGTATTTTGGATGAACGAGTGTTTAAGTTGGGCACTTGGTTAACTCTCATTGCCTCAGGGACTTAACCTATTATTTGAGTTGCCATTTTTTGGTGTTTAAAGTTCTCATTTATTTTTTTAACATGTACAATTTTTAAAAATTATCTGTGCTCCATCTACATAAGAGGCCATAATCTCTTTTAAATTTATATGGTTTTTTCTTTAATAATTGGAGAGAAAATTTGACTTTGTGAATGCTTACCATATCGGTGATTATTGGTACAACTACTCTATCAAAATTCTTTCTCATTTAGAGCTCTTTGAAATGTTTGATGCACAAGAATTAATTAATGAGCTTATTAAAGTTATGGATGGACCTTAACATTAGTTTTATTATTTTGTTATATTTTATCTTTCTAACAACTCGTGATATTCCTATTATAGTTAAGGTGATCTATTTTGTCACATTGATCAACTCATGATTACTTGAATTCAAAAGACATTAATAGCTTCGTTTAAGTTTAGGGTAAAGGAAGACTCCCTATTATCTCTGAAACTATGAAGATCATCTTTGAGGAGATTTTCTTCTAGTTTCCTAAGTCTCCATTCTAGTGTTGATTTTTCCTATGACATACTTCATATCATCTTTCATGGTCAACATGCTTGGGTTTAAACCGAGCAATTATAAGATCATGTTTGGGCCAAAATGAAACATTAACCTTTTTAGATTTATGATTATGTTATGTGCTCCATTTCGGTTTAATTTAATTTAAATGTTGAGTCTCCTAATTTAGAAGAAAAAGATTGGGCTGAGCTTGGTTTGAGTTACAATTAAAATGGGTTGTAAAGATTGAATCTCCTTTTTTTTGGGCTTTCTTCCCCTCTTTTCTTTTTGCTCATTTATTTATTTTTTTTACTTTTTTTTCCTTCTTTTATATTTAACATTATTTCTTATTTTTTTAACTCGCATAATAATAATAAATAAATAAATAAATTTTAATTTTTTTAAAATTTTAAAAATTAGCTATACAAAATCAGGATATTAAAAAACATATTTTGAGGTTTTTCTATCAAATTATGGACAACTAATTGTATCTATTCGTTGTAAAAAAGACTGATATCGTAATGTAGAAGAAGATGAAAAAAAAAGGTTGGTCGGGTTTAAAATCAAAGACGTAGGGTTTTGATATGAGTATGGAAGATGAAAAGTCAAAAGAAGAGAGGTGTGTGTTGAAGAAGATGAAAATTCTAAAGAGGATTCGTATTGTTTAATTAGCAAGTGCCTATGAAAAAAAATATTATTATTTTTGTAATCCAAATGTTCTTTAATATATTAACATGCAAAAACTCATTTTTCATTTATTCAAACTGGTATGAATGTTTTTGTTTTTTCAATTAAAAATTTAGATATTACTTCTTTTAGTTATGCATTTGAAAGCTGTTTGAAATTTTAAGGACTAATATATAATAAAAAAACACATTTTAAACTAAATCGAAAAATATGCCAAAGTTTGAGGACTAAAATGATAATTTTTCTTGAAAAATATTGTAAATTGTATAACTCTTATGTGATTACTAAACTTTTTATAATAGTTGAAATTTAATTTCTTTAATTATATTACTCATAAAATTAAATGAATTACAACATATATAAAAAAAGTATCACTTCAACAATATGTCAAAAATTAGATAGATAGTGAACAACTTAAAAGAAATATCAAGCCAAAATAATATAATAACTTATCATTCTTTACTTTAGTCTAAATTTAATATTAAAATGTATGTGTTATTATAATTTGATGGTAAAATTTTTTGATGAAATAAGTTGATATGATAAACATTGTTAATACTATATCATCATAATCCACAATACTATATTATATAAAATGTCTGTTAATATCAGATGTATATGTTGATATTGAAATTGATAGGTAACAATTAAAAAATTTAAAATTAAATTTAAATAAGAAACTGAATAAAATTATTATATATTTATAACTATCTTAATATAACATTATCATATTTAGTACTTAAATCAAGAATTTAACTTATGTAATATACATGTAAATTGAATACTTATAACTACATAATTTAAAATTGTAACATCATTCTTTTTCTTTATGATAGATTATCAAATTAACTTCTATATAAAGAAATTTAATACAAACATTTAATCTTAAAATATTTATAATTAGTTTAGTGTAATACTATCATATTATATGTTTTAAATTATAAATTTAACCATCTTATGCATTTATAAACTAAATACTTACACCTATTTGATTTTAAAAATAATTTAGAGGTTCGGGTTAAATAGTTTATTTTTTTTAATAGAAATTAACTAATAATGATATTATTATGTGTATGTAGTGTGTGTGTGTGTGTATATATATATATATGTGTAAAGAAAAACTCACGTGGAATTACAGGGGTAACATGGTAAATTCACTTAATTAATCACCCAGTTCGTGCGACTACCAAGTACCAGCCTTCCAATCCAGTCTTGTTTCTCCTTCGTTCACTTTTTGTTTCATCGTCTCCCTTCCCTTTTTTGTTCTCATAATTAACATAAACCCGCTAATTAATTAATTAATTAGAACTGATTAATAAATTAATTAATAATTATAGAGAAATAATATTATATTGAATTTTTAATAAAACAAAAAATTAATCCCCAAAATCGAATCCCAAACCAAAATCTCTACCCCCAAAATTAATTCCTAAAAACACACTCCTCCCTCGCGAGTCCCTTCATCGTCTCTCTCCCGATTCAGTCCACAAACCACAGAATTCGTCTTCTCCCTAAATCGTTTACTTACTTTTCTTCCTCTTCCTGTCAATTCGCACGTGCGATTTTGCAGGTTTTCTTCTCTCTTCCCTCTTTCTTTATCGGTCGATCATCGCAATCTTGAACGACGTCGTTTTTGTCTCCCCCGGTTGGGTTACACCTCTCGTCACCGTCAATTTTCGATCGCTGCTGCTACTGATTGCACTTTTCTTCTATTTCAGGTGGCCACTCTTTTTATTGCTTTTTTGGGAGTTGTATGTTAGGGTTTATTTGTTTTGTTGCCTCATTGATTTAATCTAGTTTACGTTGCGTAACCTAGGGTTACTTATGTTTAGTTGTTCTTGTTCCCTAATTAGGATCTGCCGTTGCTTGCTTCTTATTCTAAATTATGTTCCCGTTGTAGAAAATTTCAAATTCCATGTAATTAATTTCCTTTCAATCCTGCCAATTTCGCTTTTGGTTGAGTTGGGCAATGCAGAAACTGTTAAGTTGAGATCAAATCACGTTAATTATATACGTAAGTATGGGTATTTAATATATTGTATCAATGTACAGGCGTGAGTACGTGGGTGGATATAGGTGTATTGCTTGTATGCTATGAAGGACGTGTATGATAATAACAGCAGATAGAAAACGAGAGGAAAAAAAGAGGAAGAATGAGCGGTGGATGTTGTGATTACCTGGAGAAACTGAGGTTTGAGGTATGCGGTGCTTGGTAAAACTAGTTAGAAGAGTTAGAGGAAAGCGAAGAAGGAGAAGAAGAAAGAATAAAAATGAACGTGCAGGCTCATATGTCGGGACAGATATCAGGGCAGGTGCCTAATCAAGGGGCGGTTCCCCAGCAAAATGGGAACACCCTCCAGCCTTCTCAGATGCAAAGTTTAGGTGGTGCTGCTGTTGGTGTTGGTCCTGGTGGTGTTGTTGCGGGTCCTCCACGGAACACAGTGAATAATATGGACCATGATCTTATCAGATTGCGACAGTACATGCGAACCAGGATGTAATATGTTCTTTCCTTGCCATTGGCTTATCTATTTCTCAGTTCACAGTTTGGTGTTGGATATTTTTATATTATTATCTGTTTGTCAACTTAGTTCGTTAAAGGTCTTAATCTATGGCTTGAATTACATGGAGATTCTGGCTAAGTAGCTGCAACTGGAACTAGAATTAATTAAAATTGCCATAATTACAATTAGTTTATGTGATTTAATGCTGTTTGATTGCTTTTGATAATAAACCAAGCATAATTCTAACCCTTTTTCTGTGTGTGCATACCTCTCTGCTGTATGTCTGCCTGGTGCTGCTAGACCCACAATTAACAATGTTAACATTGTTAGGCGACAGATATTCATTTTTTTCTAAATAGGTGACAAATATTCATTATTTGTTGCTTTTCAATTTATATACGAATGCTATAAGTCTATGATTGGAAAAAAAGCCCCCCGATATTTTGTACTTCCAAATCTCTGATGTGTGCTATTTGTTTGTTTTTCTTGATAGGCAGATGTATGCTATTGTTGTTAATTAATTGATCCTATAGCATGTTTCTTT